GGGGGGGGGGGGTGATGACGTTGATGGTGTGTGGCATCACATGCACAAGACATTTGCTAATTTCACAATTTAAGTTTGATGACTAATCTCCCCAACTTAGTCCTCCTTTTAATACGTGTTTTGCCTTAAAATGGAGAAACCTCACTTGAATTGGGGAGTTAGCATCCGTACGGCCTTTGGGAAAATTTTTGAGCCAATTTCTTAACATCTCACGGCAATTGGGCTAATATAGTGATTAATTGCTTAATTAATCCCTCATAATATGTTTAATTATTAAATTAAACATAATGCTTAATTACCAAAATTATTTCGAACGTAAACGGTACGTCGAAAATAGATTTCGGTAATCTCGACTGAAAATAGATAATTCCGACAATAATAATTTAATAACATTATTATGTCGGAACTAAACGTAATTTATACCGATAAAAATATCGGGATATCACAGATTCCTTCTCCTTGCGTTAATAGAAGATTTCTTTTTCGCTCTAGGCGCGCGGGCTTTCTGGCCCGCAACAGCCCGCGCACGGCCTGATCTTCCTCTGAGCTGGCAGCCCGCGTCCCACCCCGCGCCAGGCCCGCGCTCATCTCAGATCCCAGCCCGCGAGCGGCCCGACCAAGCCCGCGAGCAGCCCAGTGTCTTCTGGCCCATTGTACGCAGCCCAGCGCATTGTGCGCGGCCCTGATGCACTTCACTCTAGCCCGCGCGCAAACAGCAGCCCAGCATCACTTTGCGCGGCCCAGTCCTTGTTGCGCGGCCCACCTGCCTTCATATCCGCGGCCCAAATTGCACCAGCATGGCCCAGCGAGCTTGGTTCCAGCCCAGATGCGCTCCAACTGGTCCAGGAAGCTCCAGAACGGTCCAGCAGTGTGCCAACGCGGTTAAGACCGGCCCAGACCTGTCCAGCTCACCTTAAACTGGTTCAACTTGGTCCAGAAGCTCTGGTTCATGTCCAAGATGGTTCCCGAGCGGTTCGAGGAGTTCGATTCACTTACCGAAGGTCCGAGACGATCTGATAAGCTTGATGAGCGATTGAAGTACCATGGTGACTCGATTAGAATCGAGAAAGGCCAAGTCTAGCTGCCCATTAGACTTTGGTGTTCAGACGATCTCCATTAACGGAAATAAAAAAACGTCTCAGAGTCGGCAAAAAATTTAAACCGTAAGTACTAATCTTAACTATAGATTCCGCTGCGCTAGGATTTATTATTCAATAGATTTGATTGTGCACATTGTCGACGTTCCTAATAGAACCCAACAACTAGTATCAGAGCCCAGGTTAATTCGACTTTGTGCACTATTCGAATTAGGGCTTGCGTGATATATGTGAATTAATTGTGTACAGACGCAGCGCATAATAGATTAGAATTGCAAATAAGTGTGTTTGCAGGTATTCTTGAATGCGACTATTATGGCCCGCATGTATGTTTGTTTTTTAATTCATGTATGTCGTTTTAAAAGCCTCGGACATGTCGAGGATTTTTGGGTTGGTGAATGTTTGTAATAATTTGTTCGTGCAGTGGGACACCGCATAGTTTAAATGCTTTACTAGATCATTCATGTACGACCCCTGCGTGGGCCATAGGATCAATGTATGTAATTATATTATGTAATTGTTCGTTGGACCCGGTAAGCGCGGACATCTCTCGACGAGACGAGGCAGGCTACCCCGTGAACCCGTAGTTGATGGGATACGTGGTACTGTGCAAATGCAGACATACTCGTAGGCAGCTTGCTGTCAGATAATAGCATTGTTAAGGTGTTTGCAGACGGATACGCACGAACCCAGGTCAACAGAAGTACGGGTGACGGCGGCAGTAGGCACACGCCAACAGAGGAGACTCGATGGCGACTTTCCCGATGACGACTTGTTCAAGACGAAAAGTGGGAGTCACGGCGAAAAAGGAAATTCCATGTCTTGAAATGGAAGACCCAGTTCAACAAGGACTAGACTGCGTTTCCCGAAAGATTGGAGATTGATTAAAATGGCCATGATAGTTGGATCTTCGTTCCTCGTTTATTATTGCCTATTAATCATGCATGTCCTTATGTGATTTAATTGCTCTATGTGCAAATTGAATTATTAGGAGCATGTTTAAGAAAACCCCTTTAAATTAAAAATTATATTAAGTGTGTAATGGGTTGAAATAAATATCATCCAAAGCCTCCATTATAGGTTTGTCAGTGAAGTGATTTAAATCGAGCCCAAAGGACGTTTTATTTCACAGTTCACAAGGACAAATCTCCTTCGGGATGAGCTATTTCAAAAGCGTACGGGTCACCCAAAGGTGGACGTATAATTTTGGTAGTAAACTTAGTACCAATTAATGGGTTACACTTAAAGTGCAAATAATTACGATATTCCCGAAGGAAAAGTTCGTTTTTATTCTTATAAAAATTATTTATAAGTTGATTGCGCTGGCCAAAAGTTCGACCGACTATTAGTTAAGTATTGCTTGGTAGTACGTTAAGCTAATGGGATTTATCCCTCCTCTTGCGACGGTTTGAACTGTAGACGCCCACACTCAGTGGCCTGCGGGGATTCGGTGATTTGAGGTGCCGGTGAATATATTCAAATGTTGTTTTGAAGGGATCAATATTTGATGATTCGAAAACACTTGACTGAGTAAAGACTATGTTTGCATGATCCCAGGAATTCAAAATGTCTTTTCAATCTGTTGTCCGTAATACTCAAAGATAATTTACTTGTTCAAACATGATTAGAAATAGAACTTGGATAGTGTCTAGTTTTGCTGAAGAATACAAGCCGAATGGCATGTGTATCTAGTTTAAGCGAAATAGACATAGGAAGATGAACTGTCCTATCCTTAATACAAGAAAGGTAAATCTTATTCACTGGGAAGTCGAAACATTTTAAGTGGTGTTATCTATCAGTGCCTGGTATGTAGATACGTAACTACTAATTATGTAATAAGGTTTCAGTGAACCAATCGACATGTGAAGGTTGAATTACCATCTAGAATGGGCTAGCTACAGAAGTAGCATCTATTGCAGTGGGAGTTATCTATTAAATAGAATTCTTTTGGTTTTCAGTAATTGTCTTTTCGTACCAAGTTTTAGAAAGAACTCGTGTTCAGTTTCTAAATTGTGTATGGGTAAAAACGAGATGTTTTATCCATTTGATACGTGGGTAGACAATTTCTAAACTCAAGGAGCCAAAATATCTCACAGTGCAATAAATAACACATCGACTAGAATCAATAAGAAGAAAGGTTGTTTGGGGGAGTTGGGGGAGTTGCAATACCCCCAAACACTCATTTATCTTATGGCTTGGAGTGATGAATAGACTCCAAACTAAGGATCGACTTGAGTTCCTTAATGAAGATCCGACGTGTCCCCTTTGCGGTACCACCATTGAAACCTTGAGTCATCTCTTCTTCGAATGCTCGTTTAGCTTGGAGATTTGGGGTGCCATTCGTGTATGGATTAGCCTCCGTCACACGCCAACAATGCTTAAAGGAGCCCTAAAGTGGACCAAAAAAGAGGGAAAAGGTACGAGTGGAGAGCCAAATTGAAAAAAGCGGCGCTAGCGGCTACCGTATACTTTATATGGAATGTCCGGAATCGCTTCATCTTTGAAGGCGAAAACCAACCTCCAAGCCTCGTGATTCGCAAGGTAAAAACTCATGTTTATTGTACTATATTTGCCACCTACCTGAGAGTGCTTGCCAAATTTGAAAGTCGATGCCTTGGTCTTGATGTGTAAAATTTGATGTGCTTGGATTTTCTACTTTGAGCGAGCTCCCGGTTTGTGGGTAAGCCCTCGGTTTTGGTATTTTTGAGTGTGGAGCCGACATGTGGCTGCCCGCTTCGACTTGAAAGCCGTCTCGGTTGTATGACTTCCAGTTTTGATCAATACAATTTATTTAACGATCAAAAAAAAAATAAAGAAGAAAGGTCCTTCAATAAATGAATCATTACATTACTTGGCATCTAGTGTTTGAGATTTTAGAGTTAGTAGAATTCAAAGGTGGATAGCCATTGAACTCATGGGTTCTTTTGGAATGGATGAAACTATCAGACCTATGAATTATACTTGGCAGCTAAAATCACAATAATGACCTTTTGAAGGTCGAGGGTTAGATGCCAAATAAATGTTAAGGTTGGTTCATCCAATTTGTAAAGTTCTATGATTTTAGGACAAAAGGTAGTTTTAAATATTTTTCTTCTAAGAATTTTGTTCAAAACAGGGTACATTAAGTGACATTCCATAAGTTTTGAGTACATCGAAAGAGTGCAATGGCAGTTATGGAAAGATGTCGAGTTTAATGTATCAATGGCATTACCATTGAAATCGTAGTGACTAATACCTTTTGAAAGATTATGGAAATACTTATTTGATGTTAAGATTCGATCTCAATGTGTTCACCTGGTTCATCGGAACAGGATGGTATAACAGATCGAAGGAAAAAATGTCTCTCTAGAAGATTGGTTATGTCAATGATGAGTTATTAGGAATTTCGCTTTTTCGTATTGGAGTTGTGCAAATAGCAGTATAAGTTCTGAATATAATCCTATCTAAGTTTAGTAGTCATTACTCTGAATGAATTGTTGGCAAGACTTAGGCCTTGTCAGGAATATATTCGGATTCAGAGCATTTCAGCATACGTGCTGGAAAGTTGATACTAATAGAATTGGAAAAAATGTTCGAAAATTAGGCTATTTGTGGGATACTTCATGGTAACGAGAAATGAGTGGATTATTATAGTACTAAAAGTCAGAATATGTTCGTTAGCGCGAACGTCTGATTTTTAGAGGAATACTAAGTAATAAACCATTAAGCTTATTTGTATAATTGTTTTAAGGAAAGATAACGGTAAAAGTTCAACTTTGTTACCAAGTGTACAAATGTGATACCACAAGGAAAACTGCAACACGTATTTTGTGCTATACACCTTTGCAGAGGGAACCTCGTTGTAGTGGGAGGGTTGCAAGACAACTCCATTCGTGATAATAAGAGAGTCGTTGGACTCAGTCTGTGTTAATCACAAGTTCATGGAATTCAAGTTTTTGAGAAAGTCTCGGACTTAGTCTCTAGTAAACTTGAATCAATCCCTAGTTA